AGCATGATGAGAGGAGGCAGGATTCAATGCTGAGGCTGCTGGAGGATCAAACCAATATGCTCCAGCATATGGTTGAGCTACAGGAAAGGCAGCAGGAGCACAGACCACCACTACAGCCCCTGTGTAACCAACCGCCCTCCTCCCCAAGTTCCATAGCCTCCTCACTCAGACGCCCAAGAACGCGGTGGGGGGGCCTCCGGCCACCCGGCCACTCCACCCCAGAGGATTGCCCAAGCAAGAGAAGGCTGGCATTCAATAAGTTTCAAAGTTTTAAACTTTTAAAGTGCTGTGTGGCCTTGTCCTTCCCTCCTCCACCATCCCTCCGGGTGCTTCTCTCCTCCACCACGCCTCCTGGGCTACCTTGGTAGTTATCCCCCTATTTGTGTGATGAATGAATAAAGAATGCATGAATGGGAAGCAACAATGACTTTATTGCCTCTGCAAGCGGTGATCAAAGGGAGGAGAGGAGGGTGGTTAGCTTACGGGGAAGCAGAGTGAACCAAGGGGTGGGGGGTTTCATCAAGGATAAACAAACAGAACTTTCACACTGTAGCCTGTCCAGTCATGAAACTGGTTTTCAAAGCTTCTCTGATGCGCATCGCGCCCTCCTATGCTCTTCTAACTGCCCTGGTGTCTGGCTGTGCGAAACCAGCAGCCAGACGATTTGCCTCAACCTCCCACCCCGCCATAAACATCTCCTCCTTACTCTCACAGATATTGTGGAGTGCACAGCAAGCAGTAATAACAGTGGGAATATTGGTTTCGCTGAGGTCTAACTGAGTCAGTAAACTGCGCCAGCGCGCCTTTAAACGTCCAAATGCACGTTCTACCACCATTCTGCATTTGCTCAGCCTGTAGTTGAACAGCTCCTGACTACTGTCCAGGCTGCCTGTGTATGGCTTCATGAGCCATGGCATGAAGGGGTAGGCTGGGTCCCCAAGGAGAACTATAGGCATTTCAACATCCCCAACGGTTATTTTCTGGTCTGGGAATATAGTCCCTTCCTGCAGCTTTTGAAACAGACCAGAGTTCCTGAAGATGCGAGCGTCATGTACCTCTCCTGGCCATCCCACGCCGATGTTGGTGAAACGTCCCTTGTGATCCACTAGTGCTTGCAGCACTATTGAAAAGTACCCCTTGCGGTTTATGTACTCTGCGGCTTGGTGCTCTGGTGCCAAGATAGGGATATGGGTTCTGTCTATGGCCCCACCACAGTTAGGGAATCTCATTGCAGCAAAGCCATCCACTATGACCTGCACATTTCCCAGGGTCACTACCCTTGATATCAGCAGATCTTTGATTGCGTGGGCTACTTGCATCACAGCAGCCCCCACAGTAGATTTGCCCACTCCAAATTGATTCCCGACTGACCGGTAGCTGTCTGGCATTGCAAGCTTCCTCAGGGCTATTGCCACTCGCTTCTCAACTGTGAGGGCTGCTCTCATCTTGGTATTCTTGCGCCTCTGGGCAGGGGAAAGCAAGTCACAAAGTTCCATGAAAGTGCCCTTATACATGCGAAAGTTTTGCAACCACTGGGAATCGTCCCGGACCTGCAACACTATATGGTCCCACCAGTCTGTGCTTGTTTCCTGGGCCCAGAATCGGCGTTCCACTGCATGAATCTGCCCCATTAGCACCATGATGCCCACATTGCCAGGGCCCCTGCTTTGAGAGAAGTTTGTGTCCATGTCCTCATCACTCACGTCACTGCGCTGACGTTGCCTACTCACCCGGTGTCGCTTTGCCAGGTTCTGGTGCTGCATATACTGCTGGATAATGCGTGTGGTGTTTAATGTGCTCCTAATTGCCAAAGTGATCTGAGCGGGGCTCCATGCTTGCCGTGGTATGGCGTCTGCCCAGAAAAAAGGCACGGAACGATTGTCTGCCGTTGCCCTGACGGAGGGAGGGTTGCCTTACAGGGAATTAAAATCAACAAAGGGGGTGGCTTTGCGAGAAACTGAATGGCCCCCTCAAGGATAGAACTCAAAACTGGGTTTAGCAGGCCGTTGATTTCACAGAGGCAGGGAGGGAGGAGAAAATAAATGCAAAACAAATCTGGTCTATTTCTTGTTTTGAGCCACTTCATCTATCTTTATACATCTTGCTGGCAGCAGACTGTGCAGTACAACCGCTAGCCATCATCATCTCCTGGGTGCTCGGCAGAAGACAGTGCAGTATGACGACTAACCATCATCTTCTGCTGGCTGGAGGTTGAAAGGACTGAATCGCCATGAGACGAAACAAGGGAAATGACCTGGCTGAGTCACTCCCATGTTTGCCCAGGCGCCCAGTTAAAAGAGCACCCAGGACTACGTCGATGACGGCTACCTCATACTGCACTGTCTGCTGCCAAAAGGCAATTAACTGCTGCTGTGTAGCAATGCAGTACCACGTCTGCCAGCACCCAGGAGACATACGTTGATGGTAAGCTGAGCGGGCTCCATTCTTGCCATGGTATGGCATCTGCACAGATAACTCAAGAAAAAAGGCGCAAAACGATTGTCTGCCCCTGCTTTCACGGAGGGAGGGAGGGAACGGGGGCCTGACGATATGTACCAGAACCACCTGTGACAATGTTTTAGCCCCATGAGGCACTGGGGTTTCTACCCAGAATTCAAATGGGCGGCGGAGACTGCGGGAACTGTGGGATAGCCACCCACAGTGCAACGCTCCGGAAGTTGACGGTTGCCTCGGTTCTGTGGACACACTCCGCCAACTACGTGCACTTAGAGCATTTGTGTGGGGACACACACAATCAACTGTATAAAACCGCTTTCTACAAAACCGACTTCTATAAATTTGGCCTAATTTCGTAGTGTCAGGCAAAGGAAAAGGTTTTGCCCAGGTCACAGATCTGTCATTTGGCCAGAAGAGGTCACTAGAGCTGCAGAAATCCCCTGGTTTTCTGGTGTTTCTGGGTGGTTAGTTTGCCAGGCCCTGCTCCCCTCTCAGCTGGGGTGTTGGAACAATATTTATAGTGGCGGTGCTGAGAGCCATTGAACCAAACTGTAAACCCTGCATATAACGGACACCCGAGAGCCCGCCCAACCCCCTAGTTCCAGCACCTAAGCCTCTCAGTCCACAGAACAGCACAGAGTTCAGTGGCTTTCAGTTGACGCTGAACACAGCTGACGGCTCTGCCAAGCCCGCGGTTCCCATCCTGGGGGAGGGAGACTGGAACCAGAGGCATGTGATAATATTACAGTGGAGTTACAATTACGCAGCCTCATTCCAGCTGGTTGCCACAAGAAGACGGACAGACGGACAGAGGGGAAAGAGAAACAGAAAAGGAAAGAGAAGAAATAAGGAACAGGAGCTAGAAACTCCATCTGGGGCAGCTTGAGCTTCTGTGTGCACCATACCGATCTTCCTTCGCCTCTGCTTGGCCATCGCCCTGGACAGCAGCCAGAAGGGGGGGCGGGGCGGGGGCACCGTTTGGCAGAGTCCTGGTCACTCTTGAGTCCATTCTTCCATCATGAAGGAGGCCAGGAAGTGACTGATCCCGTGACTCCTCTCTGAGCTCTCTCTGGTTGGGGCTGGCTTTGTGACCCTCTGTGGCCTGGTCCCAGTTTGAATTTGGCTTTTACTCATTTAGGGGCAAATTCTTCCCCCGGTACCCCAGACAGGTGCAGAAACTGGTCAGGCAGCAGAGCCTGAGAGGTCCTGCCACGTGGAGGTGGCAGGAGACAGAGACTCTGCCCAGATGCATTCCCCGTTCCACCATGGGCCCTGCCTGGGCTCCTCCATGCCAACATGCAGGGGGAGTTTGAGGTAGGGGCTGAAGCCGTTGGTTCCGTGGCTATGGAGATCCACATTCAATTGCTCCAGGCAGGGGAGGTGAAATAGCTAGACAGGGGATTATGGAGCAGTTCTGCCCTTCCGTGGCAGGTGGGGGTGGGGAAGGGTCCATGCCCTCCCTGCACGTGAGCTGTTTGCTCAGGTTGTGCCCAGTAACTAGGGGTTTTCCATAACAGGAGCAAGGGAGCGACTGGGCTGCAGGGGCCTGTTCATGCCAGAGACACTCCTTGTAATGCACTTGCGGAAGGGGTCAGGCAGGAGCCGCCTGTCCTGGATGCTGAGCGATGTGTGTTCTACACCCCCAACCGATTCTCCCACCTCTCTATTTTCCATTGTCCTCCAACCCACCCCCTGCCCATTGTGGTGCCATGTACATGTGCCCAGGGAGCCCCAGAGCTCTTTGTCCTCTGCCCCGCTGAGAAGGGGAGTGGGAGAGGCACATGCAGACCCCGTGAAGGCCAAATTACAGGAAGGAATCCTCAGCAACACCAGAACTCGCACCCATGTCTGATTAAACAAACATGAACGCACTGATTCACTGGGAAAACTTCCATCCCTTCCAGCCATCTTTGCAGTGTCTTTGTGGCCATAGGGTAGGTGCTGTAAACATTTAAAGCAGAAAGTACTTTACACTGAAGGATCCTACACTGCCTGAAATGGATACCAAACACCTGCACTTCCTTAATGAATAACTAAATATCAGTCTGAAAGGTTTTAAAGAGCAATGCAAACTTCTTGTACTGCTGAGAAGAAACAAATGGGGCTGGTAGCCCTGGATTGCGCTGCAGAGAGCCGTAGCCGTCAGACTTCTTATGAAATCACTGGGCTGTAGCACACAATGGCTTACTGTGCTAATGGGCGTTCTGGAGACCTGGATTCAAATCCTGGTTGCATTAGGACTTTCAATAGTACAACGAGGAGCACTACCATAATCAGTTACTTCTTGTACGTGGCTGGACAAATATTAGGAATTCAGGGGTCTTTTTCCTTCTCTTCCTTAGATTTCTCCTCTTCTTCATTCTTCATGCTGCCTTGTTCCTCTGCTGACTCTTGATCCTCAACTTCTTTTGAATTTTTTTTCTTCTTCTCTAGAACATGCTCTCCAGCCAATGAGCAGGGAGCGGATTTGCATGAAGGGGCCGTTCTCCAGCTCTGGGTGTTTAAGAGAGAATCGGAGGGTTGCAGCCACAGACCCGTTTGCCTCAGGAAGCCAAGCTCATCTGGATTCCCACCATGGCCTGGGCCCCTCTGCTCCTCACGCTGCTCACTTACTGCGTTGGTAAGGGTGGAGGGTGGGGTTTCTCTGAATGGATCCCAAGACCAGGGGCTGATCACTAACTGGACTTTGGGTTGAAATCCCTGGGACTCGCTCTCTGATTTGGGAAGAACATTTCTCAGACAAGAGAGGCAGGTTGTGATTGGTTGGTTTCTGTTGCTCTCTCCAGGTTGGAGTTCCCAGAGTGCGCTGACTCAGACAAGCTCCACCATGGCAGTGAAACCGGGGGAGACGGCCGAGCTGCACTGCACGCTGCAAGGAGTGGATTTCATTAGTAAAAACCACCCATCCTGGTATCAGCAGAGATCGGGGAAGGCCCCTCGGTTACTGATCTATGACTCTAGGAGCAGAGCCTCCGGGATCCCCGAGCGTTTCTCTGGTGAGACATATGGTAACAGGGCGTCGTTAACCATCACTGGAGCCCAGGCCGAGGATGAGGCTGATTATTACTGTGCTGTGTGGACTGGGAGTGCTCCTCACAGTGACACAGTCAGATGGGGAACTGAGACGAAAACTCCCCTGTTGAACGAAGCCTTCCTTTTCGCTGCATAGCAGCTGCAGGCCAGGGTTTACTGTGCATGTCTCCCTCTGATCTGGGGGGATGACTTCCTGTAGCGCTAACGAGGCAGTGACAGCCGGAGGTATATGGGTTATGAGACAGCCTCCCCCATTTTCCCATCCCTGCACTGGCTTCCCTCATCTACCCCCCATTCCTTTTCAGTTCCAGTCCCCTATTCCGTCCCTTCTCAGTTCCTGCCCCCTTCTCTAGTCCCCCTTCAACTCCTTTCTCAGATACCCGTAGAGACACCCTTTGTGAGTCATCTGCCCTCAGCAGCTGCCGTTGCCTCTCTGAGGTGCCATGCGCAATAATGGTCTCTGGTGGCCACAAGAGAACTCCTGGCCACAGCCCAGCCAGACGTGTGAGATTCCGGTTGACGGGCGGGCGTGGCAGGGCTGCCAAAGGCTGACAGACAAGTGAGGTGTGTGACACTTGGCAGCCCTGTCTTTCGCACTGGTGAGCAAATTCACAAAGGGCTTCCATGGAGCTCTTCCTGATTTATACTGCAATGAGATCAGAGCCTGGCCAATCCGCCCTAACACTTCCCCAGCTAACGGGAAAGGGCTTCTTAGCTCTGCCTTACTCCTGAGAGACCTGCAAATGGTCATTGGAGAGAAAGACCCTGCATTGTTCTATGAACATTCAAACCTGTACAGGGCAACCCAACCCAACCCATCCCTTCAAGGATTTAACCCAGGAGTTGAACTGCGAATTTCATCAGCACTGCAGATTCGAACCAACCCTCAGAGCTAAGCGTCTGGAGCTCATGGCCTGTGGAATGAAATTTGGTGTGACTGCAGCAGGATGCCGTCCCAGAGCAGATCCCGACTAGAGCCCAGCATCGAGAACACCCTGGATCAGCACCAGGGAACGGGGGTTTGCTCAAGCGTGTGTGACGCAGGCCATGGCCATGAGCGTGCACTGAGGACCTACGTGAGCACAGCGGAAGGAGGAGCTACAGACAGGGTAGCTGAGGATTAGGAGGGCTCAGTTTTATTAATGTGGCTGTGCAGAGGGGTGACTCGTAACTCCAGCCCTCCGTGCCGGTGACAGTCGGTCGCTGCCCCTGACGTAGCAGAAATGGGCTACTCTGTGGAGATGCACAGAGAAGCTGTGAGCTTGGCAGGAGCTCTGCTCTTGGGACCGGCGCCTAGAGCCTGTGGAGGTCACTGAAAAGACTCCCCTTGATTTCCGTGGGCGTTGGATGAGGTCTTTGGAGCAGAGGGTACCAGCAGCAGGAACAACAGTCTCAGCAGGGAAAGACACCAGTCATCAGAGTTATAAGGTTCTTGGGTCCCAAGGCCCCCGTCCGTCCCCCACCGTCCATGCTCAAATCGTGACATGGACCATGAGCGATCCCTGAGCTGCTCAGAGCTGTGCCCAGGGTGCGATTGGAACAGAGAGCGTAGGGCATCAGTCCCCTCCGCTGTGCAGACGCAGGGCCTGGCAGCACCCTGCTCTCTGAACATGCCCCCAGAACAGCTGAAGAGTCTCCAGCTCTTAATATCTCATTTAAATCTCCCCTGCTGCAGATTAAGCCGTTCACTCCTTGTCCTACCGTGAATGGACACGGAGAACAATTAATCACCATCCTCTTTTTCACACTCCTTAACATATTTGAAGGCTGTTATCAGGGTTCCCACCATAGTCATCTTTTTTCATGCCCATTTTATTTACCTTGCCTCATCTGTATGTTTCTCCAGCTTTAACATTTGTGTTGCTCTTCTCCGGTTTGTTTACATCTTTCTTAAAGTGAGGTGCCCAACACTGGATACAAGTGCCAAATGGAGCCAAACAATTCTCTCCTGTGTCTTCAATACAAGACTCCTGTTAATTCACCCCAGAACGATATTTGCCTTTTTTATAATTGCGTCATGTTGGCACATATTCAATTTGTGATGGACTAAAACCACCAGGTCCTTGTCAGCAGTAATCCTGCCGAGCCAGTTATTTCCCAGAGACAGTGGGCACAGCAGACCTGTGAAGAGAAAGAGGGATCAACTGTGATGGAGAATCCCCTGGGATAAATGTGTCTGTGACTGGCTGCATGCAGGGCTAGAGGAAAGGAATCCACATGGGCCGTCTGCAGATATTTTCATTAGTTGCATCTGCTGAATGAAAGTCTTTCCACTCTGAGAACTGAGGCGGCCAAGTCCTGAAGCTCTGGGAGAATAGTTGGAAGTCATGGCTACAGGAATGGCCGGATTCAGCTTTTCCTCCAGCCAATGATGGGAAGTTTAATAAACTCCTTTTCCTTAGAACTGTAGGATGAGTTATTCCAGTAGCAGCCCCTCTCTCATCCTCACGGAGGCTTCCATGCACTCTAGGGCTGCCAGCTAATAAGCTTAGAACAGCTCCATCCATTACACACTGCTTCTCTCTTGGGTAACAAGCCTCTGAGGGACACCCCAGGAGAAGGCTATTTTCATGGGCTGAACCATGTGTTAAAAGAGAGCCGGTCTCAGGGATACCTGCTGCCCATTCAGTCACGTGGACCATGGTGACTTTCATTGGCAATCTCATGAGTTCCCTCTGGCAACACCACTGCATGGTGTTTACATGGGTGCCAGCAATGGGAAAGGATGGCACGTATTGTTAGTCTCTTTTAATACAGTTTAGCCGCTGGACGGTAGGGGAGGAACCAGCACCTGTGACCAGCCAGTTCTCTGCAGGACATGAGCAAGTGCTCCACAGAGCACAGGGTAGGACTCTGACTTAGAACCGCACAATCCCACATTCATTAGTGGGGAAGCCAGGATCCGACAGCAGGGGAAACATGACGGAACAATGGGCTAGACAGGAATCAGTATTACCGAGTAGCTAGTGTTCCTAGAGCACTGTAGAGCTTCAGAGCACTTTGCAAACAGTGACTGATGAATTCTCACCACACCCCTAGGACACGGGTGGGTTTTATTGCCCTCATTCCGCAGCAGGAAGAAAAAAGGCAGAGGGGCTAAGTGACTTATCCAGTGTCCTAGAATGAGCCAATGCCAGAGACGGAAATAGAACTTGGGGCCTGTTCATTCACTCAGTGTTGTGAAACCCTGTGGCTTCCCCCAGCCCTGCGCTGATGGGTCAGTACGGCTGTGACCGTGGCAATTTTCAGCAATATCCTGGACGAAACTTATTGAATCAAGTTTAAGTATTTTAACAGCCCATTGTATTAAAAATGCAAATGTCTATGGACCATTGCGGGATGGTTTGGAACTTGGTTCGGAGGAAGACAGGCTTAACGCATTTTCTGGGAAGTACTGTGACCTTCAGACGACCAAGCTGGACAATGTAGCAGGCAGGACTAATCTTCTGGGACAAGACATGTCTGCTGATCACCTGTTCTGTTAGGACATTTCAGAGACCCAAAAGTGGGTTCTTCGGGGACCAGCTGACAAAGAAAGGACTCGTAAATAAATAGCCTGACTTTAAGTGGACTCAGGACCTTTGTTCTGATCTAGGAAGTGGACAGGACTTCCAGCCCAGGGAGGGCCCCAGTCCTTAAGGAAGGGTCGGAAGGACTGGCACGGCCCAGAGCTCTCATGGAGGTTGGGCTGGCAGGGAGCTCCTGTAAGCTGACTAGCAGGCGTGTAGGTTCTTTTATTGTTTTTCATGTTTTCTCTGTCATGCTTTTTCCTTAAGAATTAAATAGGTTTGCTTAGGAAGAACCGTGTGGTAAATTAGAAGTATGGGCAATTGCAATGTAATTAGTCTCTGAGGAGAAAGCAAGCAGGCCTGGAGAGGCAGACTGTCTTTTGCTGGGAATAGCACAGTGAAGGCAGGGAACTGTTCAGCCTGGAAATATCTTGGTCAGGACGGGGAGAGAGGTGGGTCTCCGCTCAAGAAAGTTGATGACTAGGGAGCCAAAAGCCTGAGAGTGGGTGACTAGGGCCTCTGGGTGCTGTTGTTTTACACCATCATCATAATCCGACATATTGTCTTTCACCTCTGGGGAAGAGAGTTGAAATCCTGACCCAGGTCACCAGTGAAAATAAGTTTGGTGGTTCCACTGGTGTCCCCAGTTACGCCCAGTACAAATGACTGGAGATCTTGACATGAAAGGCTCACGAAAGGAAGAACTGAGCTGTTCCAGATATTCAGGTGGCTGGTGAAACTGGCCAAAGGCCTGTGGATAGAATGACAGAGGCCTCAGGTCAGGATTGGAATGGAAGACACTGGTACAGACCATTCCCATGCTCGGTCCTAGTGCATCTGGAGTGACCAGAGAGCACAGAGTTATCAGTGAGGCACAGAGCAGGGCTGCTCTGCCTCTCCTTTGGATTGTCTCTGCCCCTTTTTGACAGAATTGAAAAACAGGAGCCATTGAGCTAGCAGCAGATTTGCATGAAGGGGCCGTTCTCCAGCTCTGGCGCTTTAAGAGAGAATCGGAGGGTCCCAGCCAGGCACCTGTTTGCCTCAGCTAGCCAAGTTCATCTGGATCCCCCACCATGGCTTGGGCCCCTCTGCTCCTCACGCTGCTCACTTACTGCATTGGTAAGGGGTTGGGGGGTTATCTGCTGGATGAAACAAACTAAGAATTTATTATCTATAGTGCTAAGAATCTGTGATGTGCTCCGTGCTAGGGGGAGTTCTGATCAGCTTGTTTCTCATGTTTCAGGTTTCAGTTCCCAGCAGCTCCAGTCGCTGAAGGCATCTGAGTTAGTGTCTCCTGGAGGGACCGTGATGCTCTCCTGCAGCCTGAGTAGTGGGGCCCTCACTGATAATAACTACCCGCTCTGGGTTCAACAGAGACTGGGGAATGTTCTTCGGCTGATCATGCACAGCACGAGTACCAGGCCCTCGGGGCCCCCCCGCTGCACTGGCCAGACGGGTACCAGGTCCTTGCCGCACGGGGCCCGCGGGGGGCGCGGGGCGCCGGCCTCAGTGGGGTCCCAGATAATAAAGAGATTTAATAAATATATTTGAATTGTATGTTATGTGTTGGGGGAGGATCCAACCGCAATGCCTGTTGCTGTTATCAGTTGGTTCTCGCCCCCCGTCCAAGTGCCT